ACCCGTCCTCGAGATGTCGTGTGAGGTTTAGCGACTGGTTGCAACATGATTTCCCTGGTCAGAAACCAACTTGTTCGGGAATAAGCTTTGGGTTCACAATACTGACTAGATGGTTCAGTAGCATCTTTCCAGCAGTATATAGATATGACATAGTAAGGATATGGGCCGATAGCTCCTTGGGTCATTACAAGGCTTCCCAGGTTTAAGTAACTCTATTACTTTGGCTTTACGCCAAAGACGCGGGATTCGGGCAGAGTCCAAACTGTTGTTGAATAGCTCTAGCAGCCAGGAAATAGCTAGAGGGCCGAAGTTTTTAATTGTTCAACAGAAATGTTATCAACCCTGACGCTTTATCACTTTTTGCAGATTTTATGGCTGTAATGATTTCTGTGAGCGAGAAAGGTCTACTGATAATATTGCCATTGTCTGGACAGCTGCTGATCCTGGGTGGTCGAGTTTGCCGACGATTGGTTTTTCCATTGAGAAGAAGCTGATGGGCCACTTGATTAGCTGTGACCTGACCAGGCGGTGGGGGGTTCGCCGGTAAGTTTCCGGAGAGAGCTCCAAGCTTTCTTGCTGTTGTGCGTCAGGTCAATGTTCGTTTTCATGGTTGCTCACTTTTCTCGTCGAGTCTCGCCGATCTGAGACAATAGTTCCTCACCAGTCAGGATGGTTTCTTCCGAGAAAGGATCGTTAATAAATAATTATTCGTACCGCTTCAATAAATCAGCTGATTCGCGAGACAGCCCTTACGACAACTTCGTGGAATATATTTGCAAGAAGCTGATGCTACGACGTGAACAAACTGATCGTAGTTTTCTGCGACAGAAGGAATATTCAGGAGATTGCCGTCGACAGCCTTAGCGTAATGTACCCAGTCAGCTTTTGTATAATTGAAGCGGCGCTTAAACGGAAGAGTAATAGGTGGACTGGATGGAACACATTATAGGCTTATGTTGGGTTTTGGGAATGGGGTGGCACACGGACTTAGTACACTGTTGGGAGATATATGAACTGCAGAAGATTTAATCTGGGTTATACCCGCGACGCCACCGGCCGCTATTGAAAGATGCAATGATAAAGATGAAACTTAACGTTGTGGATTAGAGTAAGTTCGTGCGCGTCTGCCCATTCTTCAACCACCTGACCATCCATATCCGTTTCCCGGTAACCCCAGCTGGTGTTGTGGCTGTTGAAGTCGCCTACAACAACTTTCGTTTTATGACCATCAAAGTTGTTTTTGCGGAACCAGAATGGAACGCCAGGGGGCTTATACATCGATGTAATGACGCAATATGAGATGTATATAGTAATTTGTTCCACCGCCTCTTCAGAGTAACAGTACCTAGACACTGCTTTGACGTTGGGACCAACAAACACAGCGCTGCCGTGCTTTGGATGGGGAATTTCGGCCACTAGAGAAAAACCAGTAATATATAGGGTCTCATTTGGTTAGGGTCACGATGCGTTTCTTGAACGCATATGATATCGACTCGACTTTTGCGGCATGTTTCCGAAAGGATTACAGATTTGTCCTCCGAAAATCCTTCTATATTAATGGAAGTAACGTTTAACCCTGGTTCTGATAGCGGAGATTTTTGTCCGTCATGAGGCCTGAGCCTTGACAAAGGCTGTTTTGGTGGCCCTGAGAAGGGCCTACTCACGATTGTACGTCTGGCGCACTATAAGTTTCCGGAACTGGCCACTTACATAAACAACATTTAACAAGTAATTACAACATTTGAAAATGGAACTCTTTGGCTGTCGAATACAGTTTGTGACATCTGACTGTCACTTGTTTTTACATTGTGGCGTCATTATAGTAATTGGTTGTCTACATCACCATGGATTTAACTCGTGAAAATGTTCGTAGTATGGTTTCCTACGACTTTAAGTGTAATTACTTTTAATTAGTTAACAGCTCAGCGGAGCTTCTCTCGGCTTCAAACTGCTTTTGGCGATGAAATACCATGCAAGACGACTATTTATAGCTGGTTTGCAGAATTCAAACACGGTCGTTTGTATCTCAGTGACGAATTTCGTGATGGTCGCCCGTCCACTACTGTGAACAACAAAAACATCGATGCTGTGCGCCGTATGATCAAACAGACAGGCATGTAACACCATGAGATTCGGGCATCTTTAGGCATAGGCATGAGTCAAATACAATCAGTACTACACAAACAATTGGGTGTGAAAAAGCTGTGCTCTCGATGGATCCCACACAATTTGACTGAGGCTCAAAAAACGGATCGCATCACTTGGTACAATGCCTTGCTTACCGGATTCAACGAAGGGGCGTCACATTTGGTGTGGGACATAGTAACAGATGAGGAAATATGGTAATAGTTACAATCCCAAAACAAAACAGCAATCGCGCGTATGGGTCTTTGTAAAGTGGCGCGCGTGATTTTTATTTATTTCCAAAAATTAAGAACCAGTTACGCGGTCAACGATTTTCATCACCTGAAGAGGCTGTCGAAGAGTATGAAAAATATGTTTCAGATATTGTCACGGAGGAGTGGCATAAAGGTTTTCAAACTTGGTTTATTAGTATGATAAAGTGCATTAACGCTGACGGACAATATTTTGAGAAACAATAAATTAATGTCTGACTATTTATAGTATTTTTTCTTATTCATTCCGGAAACTTATAATGTGCCCCACGTAATAGTTCCTGAACCTTAGTGCGGACTCAAATACCACTGCAGGGCATATAATGTTTTTACCATCTATATTTAGATTATCTATTCAAAGTTAGAAGTGAAAGATTAGACCAAGTAGATAGTTGAATATTAAGCTACTTTTGTCCAAACAGCTCAACTCTGCAGTCCACGTCATTAAAAATATGAATGTGACGAATATGACGAAACTTTCAGGCTTAGAAACAGCTAACTTGTGACGGTGTGACCTCCGTATACCGTCATCCCACCTTTTTGTATCGCCTCTCTCCATTCGTATCGTATCGTTTTTTCTTCTTCTACTCATATTTAAATTTAAAATTATTCCATTTTACCTCGTATTCTGATTTTGTTTCTTTCCATCGTCACTCTCTGCGCGACCGCGGTAGCGAATAGACCATAATTTATCTTTTTGAATCGTTTACTAGCTATATTTATACAGTTTACATTTTAAAGTTATATTTGTTAAAACCGAATAAATAAACCGATTAAATATCTATAAACTGGACTTTCAACGTTTGAATTGCTAAAGTTACTAAATAAGATGGTGGAGGCTGCGAGGCTGCAGAGGCTATTACTGCTATCCAGGCTACACACCTTTACAATCTCCCAGAACGCCTCCAGCACCACCAGCACCTCCACAAACTTAATTTACTTTGCTACTTTCGCAGTTCCGCAAGTCATTAAGTTGCGGCATTTTTCTTTGAGGTAGTGCCGATATTAATATAGGTATAGCCGATAGAACCTTTGTCCTGCAAAAACGAAACGTTTTAAATAGCAGTAGAGCTCCTTGGAAAAGAGTTCGTCCAGGGAAGTACTGCCACCTTACTTATTTCTACCGCCAAGCGGTAATGTGAGCATTACTTCGTTCCGGTTTTGAAGGGTGCTGACGAATTACAGATCCATGTGACTTTTCAACTTATGTCTCAGGGTGTGACGGGCGCAGTGGCAGTGCCCTCAAGTCTTTGCGAATTAAAGCTGTGAGTGGCACTGCAACTGTTATAGACAGGCGTGTAGTTTACCATCAGGCGCACGACTTGTTGGTCCCATCACTTGAGTGTCATAAAAAGAAGCGTCTCCAAGATACAAGTTTATAGAAATTAAGTAATAATATAATTAATAAATAATCGTTTTATTAAGAGGAATACACGATATATAGTGATAGGTTAATGTTATACCTATATACGGGGAATTAAAATAAACTGGCATAAGTAGTCAAACCAAAGCATTATATTGGATGACATGGTAGTGATCCGTTTACCTCTTTCAAATTATTTGTATGTTTGATATTTGAAATAAATATCGTAAATGATAAATGTGAACAATGCCTACTTATTTACGAAGAACAACTCTTACAGTTTTTACTCATTCCTCTCGGGGAATCTGCCTTATAATGTGATGATGATTTCAAGTGTAATTTGCTGGCCAATGAAATAAAGATATTTAGATTTGATTTCAAAAGGTGAGACAGAGATTCAGACCGTTCTATGATTTAAAATGTAAGTTAAATATGAAATGTTTTGTATGTCCTGTTTAATATAAAAATAAGAAACCAAGTTCATCTCTACACAATACTCTTTGTTTGAAGAATTGTAGCTGAGAACGAACTTTTATTTAAATAAGTTGTTAAGCATGTCATCAACCCGCTTTGGTTTGAGGACGTCGGTCTTTGGACGTCATTTGTTTTGAGTGGCTGATTTGTGGATAAGCTAGCTCTGTTACTAAGCTACTTACAAAACAGTAAAGTTGCCTCTGATAAATATCTACGTCAAACTTTGTTTTTAAAGAACACAATTCTAGAAGTAACATCTTTTTTCAATGTCAATTTGTAAATATTTTACTTAACTTGTATCGTTTATTATAAATAATATGAAATGAACTTTAGAGAAGTTTCTTCAAAGTTGAAATACCCGATAAATTGCAGTTGAACTAAAAGTGTAAAGCAACATCTATACTGAAACGAATTGCCTAGATTTTTTTTCAGGCGCATGTAATAGCAATGCGTAAAGAACTAACCGCCTAAATTATAAACATCAACGGTAAATGTATAGTTAGTAAAAATTTACTTTACTTTATTTTACTTATTACCGTAATATCCAGTAATTGTATATAACTTGTTTTTCTATCAATGTTAATAAAATTATAATATCAAAGCGAACGCCTGCATATCTAACAAACATCACTCGGAAACCACTTGTACTTGGTAACGTGTAGTGTTCTTCAGAAGGCGTCATGGTTCTATGCTATGATGTACTGAAATAAAATAAATTCACGTAACATACTTTATAAAGTAGCAAATGAAACAATATAATATCTAGATAACAATATATTTTTGTCATCAACGACAAACTTAACAACAGACTACAACATAGATCGTTTTCAACGAAACTGCGAACTAACCTGCGATTTTTTCTGTGAAATGTATACCAATTTATGGGCTAACTGAGGCTGACATTAAAATCTCTACAGTCGCACCGTCTTTCGAGATATTAACGAAATGCAAACTCATATGGTCGGTCTAGGTGGGACAACCAATTGTGTACCTTTATTTTCTGCTTTCGTAGGACTTGAACTGTTGATAAACAAATCTTAAATAAAAACTAAAATATTTTTATTGCTAATTACACGTGTTAAATAATTTTGCCAATAAACATAATTGGCATATTCAATGACATTTTACAGAAGAATATGAAAATAATTCTTATACTCTACATTAAAACTGTGTTCAATGCGCAAATGATGAATTGACTCAAATACTTAGTGTAATCATACAAACTTATATGTAGCTTTAAATACAATTAGGTATAAGTTAAAATTAACTATAATTACTCGTACAAAATATAGTTGTTCAGTGCATATTTGATCATTTACATATATATTTTAATTAAATTTATTTTGAAGGGATAAAATTGTAAGTTCTGAAGAGGCGGATGTCTATGTGTGACCTTAATTTTGAACTATATTCAGATTTAAAATAATTATATATTGAAAATATTATCTACGTGTATGTACTCGTATAATGTGAAAATATACAAAATTTGGAATTTGTATTTAATTATGCAAAGTGTTAGGTACAATATTGAATTAAAACACGTATAATGATGACCAACTTCTAATAATCGAAGCATATCTGTGAATATAATAGCGTCAGTACAATGCTGGCAGAGTACATAATAGAAAACTTTAGTAAAATTCAGTACTGCCTGTAGCGTCGCACACACATTGTAGAGGGGATTGTCAAATGCTTTTGGCACTAACTTCAATAAATATATTAATTTTATATTACAAGTACGTTCAAATCTGATATTTACAGCTTACATGTAGTATAGATATATATTTACAACCGTACATGGAATCTTGTCGATAAACGAAATATAATCAGGTTAATTACAGCATGTTACATTTATACAAATACATATCATAAAATTTTTGGAACGTGTACAATATCTACAGTTTTTTGGATATCAAAGCACTAACAACACTCACATTGATATAATGGAAATATTATGTATGTATACTGCCCACATCATGTTTACATTAATTACCGCTACCTTCATCGAGTAACGTTCCATGATGGCCTACAATAATATCAATGACGTAAACAGTTTACTGAGTCTAACATCTAACATAACATTTTGGTTATACATGTATTGCACACATTCACTTAAAATTACGTATATATAAATCAAAGAGTGGGCTAAAATCCCTCTCCGCCATAATTTCGTGTAACTCACCGTTTAACTACCTGATGGAATGACATGTTTGACGCACTGTTGTCGATGGAGCCGCGCTAAGCAAACTGAACCAAGCTAAGTTGTTCAAACTTTGAAACATCCATATAAAATTTTATAAAATCAACAAACTACTGATTAGAATATAAAATAAACTATCGTTTAGAAAACTAAAATTTAGTGTGGATATAAAGGGTGTAAAGGCTTATAAATTTGATGTTTTTATGAGAAAGTGACCAGCTTGCTTAGGGGCGCGTCGCGTGCTGCAAAGCTCTGCTCTACAGATGACAAAGATGAGGCTCTAGGGCTGCTACTGCGTGTCTACGCCGTTCAGCGACCTGATGAGATGACCTTTAAGAGTCATGACCACTGAATATACCACTCCCAACACAACGTTAATGGCACATGGATGACACCTCGCGGGTGAACCCGCCGCTCATGAGATGCATGAACGCGCTGACGAAAAGCTCTATTAAACTAGTGATAACTACGCGTGAACATGATCTGAGAAGTTGAAACTCTGAGTGATATCTTCCCGTAGCACCATTGCCAATCAATAACTATTAGCACAATTTCCTTTCGAAAATTAAAATCATAAGATCTATGTTACCTCTTTAAAAATCTATCGTTTATTTAAATTTGTTACGGAATTGCATAGATCAAAACTACCTGCAAAAATTTTAACGTTATGATGCTTAATGGTGATTTTAAGATGAACTTATAGTAATTGGTAAAAGTAGGAGAATTTTGTTTTATAAAATTCAGTCGCCGACTACTGGTAAATTTGTATGCTACTTCTAGAAAATGATTTATAAAATCTTTTGTGACCACTCAATCCTTCTCACTGAAGAAAGAGGAATGAGGGACGTAATTTAGGAGGAGAAAGTTAATTTCGAACGCCTTGGGCAGTGTGCTTCGTAACTATTTTCTATTACTGTGGACAATTCATCAAGATGTAAAAAGTTTTGCCTCCCTTGTGCCATTGTTTGGTACAGCCTACTGGTTTACCTGCGTCGTGTCGCCGTTTATTGTCGTTTCAGTTCATTGCAACTTCAGATCCGTATTCGGTGTTGATGCCCGCTGTTTGTTTGCCTATCAGATCACCTGTAGAGTAAAATACGCTACAACTGCTGCGTTCAGCTCTATTCACTACTTAAACTATTCCTTTACGGTTCGTCAAGTTTGATGATGACGAAGAATCAAGAACTTGGGTGTCAGTGTACAAGGAACAGTAAATAGAGAAGAGCCGACGAGCATATGTTTATGCTAGCGCATTTAGAAGAGCATGTGGCAGCGCAGGTTGGAGTTGGCTATTCCGTGGTGTGCGCGGTGAGGTCGACCTCCGGCGTCGCGCTGCCCAGCGCGGCCGGTGGGTCGCTGGCGGGGAGGGAAAGTAGATGTTAGGCCTCCAGAAAGATAAGTGCAGTTGGCTTTGGTTCCAGGTTGGATTTCTTTGCTTCCACCACCAGGAACTCTATCTCCTGAAAAAAAAAAGTTATTACGTAAAAATATCGTTGAATGTTTTCAAAACTGACTATTAACAAATTGGTGAGCCTGACCTTCGTTTCAATTAACATAACCTGCCCACGCAGTTTTTGAATTGGCGAGAATGTCCTAATTGTGTCAATTGGCATTACAAGCGTGAGCTTTTGATGGCTTGTTTGAGATCGCGTGATTCTTATATGGAAAGTTGCGCCACAATTATATTGTCTGTCGAAACACTTACGGGCTTATCTCTCTGAGCGAAGGACTCTGCTATTAATCGCGCGACGTCCTGATGTTGCATTCCTTCTACGCGATGGCCATCCACCGCCAAAATCAACTGGCCTACTTCTAATCCTCCTGCCTCGTAAGCAGCGCCATGCTCCTGGAACATTTTTAGATGAAGTTACTTAAAGAGTGAGAGAATATCAGAAATAAACTTTTTTCAAACGTAACTCACGTGTATGTTAATAATTCTAGGCAGCGGATGCTTCGTGTTAGCACCGCCTTCGATAGCAATGCCCAGTATGGGCTTTGTTTTTTTAACGGAAATTTGTAGGTTGCCGTGATGGTCATGTACGACCCTTGCTGCGCGGCCTTCATCCGCCGCAGATTCCCCGTGTTGCAGCCGCTGCATGGACTGATGTCTTCTTATGCCACCTCGCTCATCGAGCAACGTTCCTCCATCTTCTTTCATATCGAAACTGCGAGATAGTTTGTGAGCCAACTCCTGTGAACGTATTATTAAATTTAAAAGATATTCAAAAGAATAAACCCCATTCAATTAATATGACTTTCAATAATGGCGAATGAATTAAGTATGTACACAACTCCTCTAATACTTACTAAGAATTTATATTTTGTTCCTAATCCTATTGCTAGATACCACATCCACACTAATATGTATAAGAACTGTAACTCTACGACGCTAAACAGCAAAGTTAATTCAGCCTCTAAGTACAAGTTAGTGCTCTAAAGAAATATTGAGGACATGTGTAGCTGGGCGGCAGAGGGCAGTAAATCGGGTGTCGTTCCTGGAGAAGAGGCAGGAACGTTGAGTGCTGCATGATGGCTTACAACCTTGTGCCTCTCAGTTACAGGAATGTAAGTGATCAGTAGACGTCGAATGTATCGAGAAGCTGTAAGTGACATGTGTGCTGGAGGCTTGGAATCATGCGTTTCGATCACTCGGTGGCGTGGTTCAAAGTGGTTATTTTACAAGTGTATCAATGTATCATGAAGAGTCGTTAACCCGATCACCTACCTCGGTAGGCAAGTAAACTTTTGGTACAACATAAACATTACGCCAACAAAATAAAGTTAATGCGCAAGTAAAACCATTAAAATTAAATTAAAAATAATTTACATAAAACAATTTTTTTGCACTTCCGCCACCATGCGCAGGTTTATGTAAATAACCGAAATTTGCAAATGCGAAAGAAAAGATGAACTTCCAATCTATTCACAACTATACAAACACTAAGATTTTGGTATACCGCAAAGTAGTACCTACTTATTTCTTCATGCACCACGTTAGCTCCAACCATTCCAAGACAAAAAGGTACCGCTACAGACTAATGAAATAACCATTATGAGAAATTCAATTGTCGAGGTGCGCTCGCTACTTTTAATGAACTAAAGGAAATGATGTAACTAAAACTGTTAGGCGAAATCAACAACGAAATGAAGTGCAACAATAAAAAAAGTGAAAATATATACGATGAATAAAATTTTCTATTACACCAAGCAATCGTTTGGTTTTGAAAGCGAGTATTTCCAATGAAAAGTTTAAAAAAATTTTTCGTAGATATCGTGCAAATGTAATATATCGACGAATGTGCTAGGACAGTTCGCTGGTCTTTCGGACGGCAAGACGCCGGGCCACTTACTAGAGGTCGTCCCCAGTACCATGATTTAACTTTCTGCGTCCAGCCACCGAGTGATGAGCGCAGCCCCTCGAGATAGCCGCACTGAAACATCACACTCGCTCAGGACCAGATCCTCACTCCGACACTCACTGCGATGCCTAACCCAACCGGCCCTGCTTTAAGCCTCGTCCCTAACGTGTTCCTTGTTATGTTTCATGTTAGCCCTGTTTGATCTAGGCGACTATTGTTACTAGCTGAGAAATACATTCTAAATAGTAGGAAGAGACAAATTTCGACATTTAACGGAATCAAAGAGGGTTCTAGATAAAATATAAATATAGCTACAGTTGCTTTGGGCTATTGTAGACAACAGTGTATTACGAAATAGGTAATTAGCGTAGCTACTGTTTCATCTAGCCAACTACAAGTAGGAAAGGCAATCTCATTGTTTGCAAAGCCTAATTAACTATTTACTAACCCCTTACAAACGTTAGCCATAACTGTAAATATATATTTAATATAATATACGCCATACCAATGTTCTTGGACATTATGTGGGTAATTATTATTTAGATGGTGAAATAAAAATACGAGTAGTACTCTATGTATGAATCAATTGTTCGATGTTTACATACCTGGTCCTGCCAATGTGCCGTTTTTTTGGAGATGCATGAAACAAAGGAACTAACCTTAAAACAGGTATTAGGTAATATTATATATTCAGTTTAATTATGACGATAATATTTCATACGAAGTCTTTCTTGAAATCAGTGCTATTGTGCTATTTGCTAATATTTGACATAAAAGAGTTCCAAACTTTCCAGTCATGCAACCATTTGCCCTATTGTGTTTTGGCTGTTTGTTGCTGCTGACTTTCCTCCAATTGTACTGTCGGTTACGGCTCTGTCAACAATTCCGGCGTTTCTTCATAGAAAAACGCACTCAAAGACGGTAGATTTTTTTATAATATGCTATTGTTTTTCTGTAACGACGGAAACGCAAATTTGGTTGGCCACGTAATCTCATTGTTCAGATTTTGCCTCACGTACTGTCGCTGTCATATGTTGCGCAGATTTTGCGGTGTCATAACGAGCTGATATTTTCTAAGAATGTGTAGATGCTATCTGTAGTATCTAGAACGGGCGAAACACTGTGCGTCTCGTTAGTGTCTTCTATAAATAACGCGATACTATCAAACACCGTCGTACGACACACACCCGTTCCCGATGCAATGTACTGCCCCGTCTGCCGATATACACTCCTGCTTCTTTTATTCCAGAGTAGAAGCAATAATAATACCAAAAACATAACCCTATTGATATTCAATATAGGTATAGATATATGCGCGAAGTACCACACGAACTAGGAGCTAGAGTATAGGAACGATTAGGTACACACAAAGCCTCGAGTAAAAGTTTTTAGGACGTGACGCTTACGGCAATTTTGATGCGCGGCCATTGGGTAAACGCACCGAGGCACTCGTGACGAAGCTTCTCTAGCTTTGATTCTCGAATCAGTCGGCTTCTTTGTAAGTGTTAACTAAAATATTTAACAGTTACTTTAGTTGTAACATGTATTAATTAGCATAAAAGCAAGAATATAATTAAACTTGTTAGATATATAACTTCCTTACGATGCCTATAATACTAAATTATTATGAACTACGCTATATAACGCTATATCGTAACTCGAAGAACCGTTAAGTTATAAATTCGAGAGATAACCATCGCCGCCGATGTTTTACTAAAATCGTCGAATAACGTTACTTGACACACAATGACTAACCAATTATAACTAACATTAATGATTTTCTGTTTTTTGTCAGCCAAATCTCAATATCTGTTACTTTGTAGATTCTCGATTTACTATTTATTTACAGGACAAAATTACGGCTTGTGAGTATTGAAACTTTTAGACATTCATATGGCTGACTCAAAATATAATTATCAGTAGATGGTTTTGTGAAAGCCTATCGAGACAAAGGCTGGCCTTCAGTGAAACCAGGGCCAGCGAAGTCTCGACGAAAAGTCATTATTTCACTTTTACTCTACCCTGGCGGTGCGTACGCTTCACTAGTTGCCGTAAAAGGATTCTGTTTGATCAGACCACAGCGTTCTATCGCGAGTGAAATTTGATACATAGTATCGAAGGTGCGTGTGTTCGAAGTTGACTATATACATTTGCAAATATAATGACAACTAATGTTGAGCAAACGTAATTTTATTTGAAGAAAAGACGGGAAAAATATTCGATTTTTAATCGACGTCAACAAAAGGAGGATGTTCTCAATCGACTGTATGTTTTTTTTATGTATGTTACGCGATAACTCCGGCTTCCGGATTTTGATGGTTCTTTTTTGTTGGAAAGAGGGTACCTCAGATGTGGTCCCATTTAAATTTGAAGAAAATATTCCACCTCTAAGAGTGGCAAACTAGGGGATGAATGACTTTTGAGGTCGGTTTTTTTAGTACTTTGTACTATATTTTTTATGACTGATCCTTTCTTCAGGATTTGATCAAACATTACGACTGTTACGCCGTTTAAACCATTTAAATTTTATGATCACATTTCGTACAAGTTGGTGTTGTTTTATTTGTTTTGTGTATCGATTACATTACCGTGGACTGATCCGTATGTGAGTGCTTCCTATAGTAGGCTCTTAAAGAACCTATGCCAAACTGTACTGGCTGCGGCTGATTATCGTTTGGATCGCGTTAACGCATGTCATCTGACGTTGTCCGCGCATAAACAATATGCCGTATGCATAGGCTTGAAAAGAAACATGTACGAATACACGAACGCAGCTAGATCTGCATTATGAGGTCATAGACAAAAGTTGAAAGGGATATATATTCACATCACCTGTCCAGTTCTTTGTCTAAAGCAATTTTATACCCTAGTTGCCAACATAATGTGCTGTACTACTACCACAACCTCACTACGTTTACCCCTCAAATATATAAAGAGCGTAACCATCACTAGTCGTGAACAACCAATACACAATTTAAAATAAAAGGTTTTGAAAAATATAATCTATCGGATGATAATCCAAACATCCCTACATTTCAGTCGGAAAAACATCGTACTTTACTAACCTCACCACAACAAAAATATAATTTACAGATGGCCATCTGGGGTATCTTGAAAACGGATAGATTTTCTATATAATCTCCATGCCCGAGTTGAGTGAACGCCCTATACTCTAATAAACAAAAATTAACTTCTTCCGGATTTTTCCTATTGCTTCTCTGTACGACACCCTTAAGGAAACACATGATGGCTTTATACCAAATCAGGAACCACAAGCCATATCTATATCACGCTACTGCCATTATTTGCATACGCGTACGTTTGCTAATTTGAAGTTTTCCATTGAGCAAGAGCGCTTACAGGTCTTGTTGTGCAATACTGAGGTCCCACTCAGCTAAATAATGCTCATTGCGATCTTTACGAAATAAGTTATATGTATAGATGTATTAAGTAGTTACCAAGTAAGTTTAAAAAATTGTGGTTAATATTAATTATGTGGGGCTTAAATGCATAACTGGAGACATTCGAAGTAAAAAAGCCGTGATAACCTAACGGTTTGACCAACCACCTCTCAAGTAGCGGGTCAAATCCGGGCTTGCAACTCTGAGTTTTTCGGAATTCATGTGAGAATTTTAATTTGAAATTTGAGCTTTCAGGTGAAGAAAAATATCGTGAAGAAACCTGCAAAGCCATATAACGGTAAGAGCAGGCCTGTGCCCACCAGTGGGACTAAATATAGGCTAACTATCTTTTATGTAAGCTTGTGTGGTGTCTCAATGTTTTTTCTGCTTTCCGACAATATTAACATTTATCCTTTAAACGCAACTGTAAGAAGTTTACGTAATAATGACGTAACTAAAGCATAAAGAACGAACTCGCATATTAGTGGAAACATCAGTTCGCCGGAAGCAGTTAAATACACAAAGTCTTTTAATACAACATCGTAACTACTTTTAATTCCGTGCTATTTTATCTGTAACAGTTTGTCCTATAATCAATCGAATCTATCCATGAATTTCACAAAATTCCAACTTATTTATTTATAATATTTATTTCCTTCTTAGTTTATGGTTGAGAATCTTTAACAGCATCAAATGCTCGCTCCTGTGTTTTTATATGAGTGTTTCCGGTATATCCAGTTTTGGACAGATGTCTGTATACCGTGAGAAAGCAATTTGAGTGTTAAGACAATTACACGGACATTGTTTACATTGTTACAAACTTCATTTCATTATATCAGTAGATACAAATTAGTATGTCGAGTTCTTAAATTTTCACTACCTTGTGGGATAAAACTAAATATTTTCTTCACGGGTCACCATAGGATCTGTAAAGAACCCGAAAGATTGGCTTATTCGAAAAACAAATATACGCGATTTAGATCCGAAAAAAAAATCGTTTCATTCCCAATCATTTTAGCAATTGAATTTTTAGTTTGTTGCTATAGGACATTTATGTATTTTTTCTACTTTCTTTTTTTTATGCCAGTAGCGACTTTCGTAGAACTTAGCAGTATAATATTGAATTAAATTTTTAAGAAATTTAGTTAAATAACCATTTCGTATGATTTTTTGCCTCATTTAGATAGTTTTTTTTTGTTTACACCAAGTGACGGGACGAACAAGTCGTGCGCCTCATGTCACAAAGATCTAAGAGGCACTGCCACTGCGCCTGTCACTCTGAAACATAAGTTGACTAGTTTCGCTGGTGAAATTACAGGCACATGAGATTTGTCAACTTATGTATCAAGGTGACGGGCCCAATGGTAGTGCCCCTCAGATCTTTGCAATTTAAAGCTCTGAGTGGCACTGTAACTGTTATGGACAGGCGTCTAGCTTACCATCAGGCGCACGACATGTTCTTGCCTTCACTTGATGTTATAAAAGAAAAGTCCCAGGTGCATATGCTTTCACAGCAACCTTATCCTTCAAAAACCGATACGCAGTAATGCACACATAACTGCTTGGCGGGAGAAATAGGTACGGTGGCTCTTTCACAAGCACCTCTACTGCTACAAAACTTCATTTGAGCAACGCAATATGAGATTATATATTTGTCAGAGACATAAATAAGATTTAATTAAAATAAAATTTTCTTGCCGCTATTATTTCCGTTCGATTCTTATATCGATTTGTATATATTTCTCCCAGTCTGGTATAAGACCTTTCACCACTTACCTCGTTCACAAAGCTTAAAACACGTGGATCTACTCCTTTGTATCTTCATCAGCGATAGTCATTATTTCTTTGTGAACGAAAACATTACATCTTTGTTTTTGAAAGCACAATTTCTTTCATGTATCCAAGCTAATGAGTCCTTGCACGTGTGTGGCCGGTCATTAAATCACCTGACCAATACAGTGCACCAAATCCATAGCAACAACGCTTGCACAGGCTTCATACTGTCGAGCGAACTCGATTCGCAGTGTGTGAACGAGCCCATTGCGCCCGCGCCGCTTGCTCTATTGTTGTTCAGCCAGTCTTGCTCCTACCTTTGACGACGACACACGTACCGTTAGGTGAATATAACAAGCTTGTTTACAAATAGAAGGCAGTGTGATTCTTGCAGCCAACAGGATAACCGTGACGGGTAAGTTAAATCTCAAATTGGG